ACAGTTAAAACAATAATTAAAAGAGTGACTGTCACGGCTATGACAATAAAAATCAAATTGAACTTCAGAACAAAGAATATTTCCAAGGATGAAGAGAAACACTCATAATGATAAATGAGTCACTTCAGTAAGATGATTCACAATTCTAAACATGTTTGCTTCAAACAACATGATAGTACTTGAAAAAAAAAGGGGGAAATAGATAAAATCCACAGGTATATTAATTGAAAGAACAATTAGATAGAATAGTCAAAAACATATCAAAGACTTGAACAAAACTCTTAAATAATTTGACCTAATTAACATTTATAGTACACTCCACCCAACAACAACAGAATATAAATTCTTTTAAAGTGTATATGAAATATTAAACAAGATAGAACAAATTCTGGGCCATAAAAGAAGTCTGAATATATTTAAAGGAATTAATCCTGTAAGGTGTGTTCCTGCCCACAATGAAATCATTATAAATCAATACCAGAAAGATACTTGAAAAATTCTCCAATATTTGTATATTAGCAACATACTGTTAAATAGCCCATGAGTTAAAAAAATTATTAGAATAAAAATTTGAAATTCTAACTGAACAATATGGAAAACTTTATATAGATATACACACACATATTGTTTGTATCTAATAAGATAAATATAGTAAGTACTTACAGGGAGGTTACCAGCATTACAATTTTATATTTAAAAAATAAATTTTAAATCTGTAAGTTTCTATCTTGAGAAACTAAAGAAAGAAGAGTAAATCAAAGCAAGTCAGCATAAGAAAAGAACAATAAAGATAATAATAGAAATCAATATAGAAATCACATAGAAAATAGGAAAACAATACAGAAAATCAGTGATCACAAGTAATGGGCATTTGTAAGGGCTAATACTATAAACTTCTAAAATATACTATACCCTTCTAAAATACTATGAATCTTTCTAAGGTAGAAATGTTTGTAGAATTGAGTTGAGCAAGCATTTCATAGATAGGACACAAATACACTGGAAATTAAGAGAAAATTTTGTTACATTCGACTTCATACAAATTAATAACTTTTGCTTTTTGAAAGATACTGATAAGAAAATGAAATGGGAAGCCACAGACTGAGAGAAAAATAATTTAAATATATATGTCTGACTAAAGACATATATTCAAAATTTACAAAGAACTCATAACTCAATAAAAAAGCAATTCAATAGAAAATGAGCAAAAAGTTTGAATATATGCTGTACCAAAGAAGATATGGGATCCACTACCCTCCCATTAAAATTGCTAATATTAAAGATTAAACATATCTATAGAATTTCAAGCTATAGAACAACTGATTTAGCCATGTTAGAAGTCAAGTAGAACAGAAGATACATACTGTATAATTCCATTTATATAAGTTTTTAGTAAAGCCCAAATAATGATATCAGAAAGTATAGTATAAATTCGTATTTGCCATTGGTCTGGATTAAGGGGAGTACTGGCTTCAAAGTGGCACGAGATAACTTTTTGAATTGATAAAACTTTTCTCTGTCATGACCATGGTGTTGGTTACTCCATAGAAAGTCTTTGACAAAATTCAAAATATAGTGAATTTTATTGTATGCAAATTATAATAAAAATGGCTTAAAAACACTTCATGAATTTAATTTCATTATTTCATAAAATATGCCCTTTTGTTGCTCTCCACTACTGTAATATTTAGTATTTAATGCTTCCTGTACAAAATATCTTCTCCTGCATAGTATATAGGTTTTGTAATAGACGAGAGGTGTTTTTCCTTTGGTGTTCATTCTTACATTATTTGAGAGAAAACAAAGGGATTTAAGATGATTTAAATGGTAGAATGCTGCCAAAATTAGTCAATTGGTTATTGGACCATACTGATGATGACAAAGTGGTGTGTACAGAGGGTGCCTGTCTGCTTTTTAGCTCAAGATTGCAGTAAGACCCAGTGAGTTGTTTTAAAAACATGCACTCAATAAAAGGAGTCTTGTGTTAATAGTGTGGTTGTTTCAGCTCTTACCTCTTTTGATAGCTGATAAAACATCCCTTTTTATTGGAGGTATGTTAAAAAGATATGTTCCTGGAGAGTCAGCCATTTTTAAGAAGTTAATTTAACTCATATTACAAAGCCTTTCCTACATTCATGTGATAAAGGAGTATTTATCATTACTTCTCTTAGAGGCTAGAGCAACTAGAGCCCTTGACCAAGATCTCAGAGTTAGGTTATGAACCTAGGATTTTTACCAACTTCTTCTGGTGTTAAATTGTATTTCCTTTTCCATTATGCCCATACTGTCTCTTTCTATGATTGATAGATAATAGAATTATTTTTAAATGGCTCAAGTTCTGTAGTAGAAAGACAATGGGAATAGAAAAATGTTTGGGGAAAGTGATCAACATAGATAATATTTTTTTCAGATTCTGTCCTTACCTGTAATTCTAGGAGTAATGAATGAATACCCATTGTTTATGTCACTATTATATTATATTCATCTATTTACTCCATATGGCCTTTACAGCATCTGTATTTTCCTCTTTCACTTGTATTGCCTAAATATCCTGTCTTCTGATTTCAATTGCAATTTGGAAAAGTCCGTATCTAAAGACAGAAAGTAGGAGAGTCTTGAAAACGACATGGTTTACCATCCTATCTATAGATGAGGATCAAATATTTCCCTCTATACAATATAAACCCAACACAAATTTCCATTTCCCTTTATGAGAAAGATTCACTAGATAGCGGGAACAATTGTTTTGTTTGAGACCTTCAACTTTGTCTTGAAGCAAAACCCAATTTTCCTTGGGATATCATCCATCTCTTAGTCCATGGGCTTGAGGAGGAGCTAACTCTAACCTTTGGTTCAAGGATGGGCATATGACTTGACCATACCTGGTCAAGGTACTCAGTCATTGATTCAGAGAAGAGCCCAACCCAGGCTCTACATTGCTGTCACCCTCATGCTATCTTGAGAAGAAAACTGCCTGGAAATGAGGACCAAGTGACAGAAAATGAGTGGGCACTGTTGATATCGTTAGAATTACTAAATTCAACTCTATCAGAAGCCAGAACCAATTTTTGTCTCTGCAATTACAGAAGTCAACACTTGTTTAAGCCAATTTAAATTGGGTTTTTACCTTTAGATCAGAAAAACATATGATAATATATTTATCAAACCACTTCTTTATGTCTTTCCCTACTCACAAAATAGAAATAGCCTCATTCCCTGGCACTGCCTCTGAAAAACACACATGATAATAACGCAGATTCAAAATGCAAATGGACTCAGCATTCAACTTGTTTTCCGTAAGCTACAAGTAGGATCTCTAGTTAGATACATGGAAGGATTGGTGGCCAGTAGAGATGGGCAAAGGCTAATTTCTCATCCTAGGCCAGACTTCTTTTGTTCAAAGTTAAATATTTCTGAAAATTGAGACCTATTGCAAAGGCTGTTATCATTGGTTTCCTATTAGTTTCATTTTCCCACCAAAATATCTATCTGGTGTAACATCAGTCAAGTGTCCTCAATGGGTGGTCACTAGGTTTTACTTTTTAATGCGTTTATGAGTTTAAATATAATTATTTTTCTAACTACAGGATATTTTCTTTAATCTATTTGATTAAGCAAGCCAGGAGTTGGAAGGAAAGATAATGTTTTCTCACTTCCTTTCTGATGAATAATAAATGTCACTAAGGAATTAGATAGTAGGAGGTAGTTGCCTGAGCCATCTGCTGCATTTGGGAACATAAGAAAGATATTAAACTTTAAATTAGGTATTGCTTCATAGAACCTAAAAGATGAAAGGAGACACACACTCAACTGGAAGATACTCATCAATTCTTATCAGTGAACTTATTAATTTGAAGGCTTTGAACGGTTAAAAAAAACACACACACATACACACACACAACTATTGCTTTTCCTTTCTGGTGAACATATTTTGTATTTTGTTACATTGAATATAGAAAATCTGTAATTAGCATGACGCTTCTTCAATTAATGCATTTTTTAGACTTCTACAAATAAACTGTGCAGTTTTTTATATATACACAGCTGATGATAATCTAAGAAAAAAGAAAAATACTCTTTTTTATTTCAACATATATAATACAGTAAAGGAACAGAATTTCATTTCCATAGCAACTATATCATAGGTCAAAGGAGAAAAATAGAACATTTATGGCTAAGTACATTTACTTTAAAATTATTGGTCAACTTTTGGTCATCAACATAATGGTTAGTTTTAATAAAGAAACGACCTCTGTTACTTTATTTTTCTATATAATTATTCATAAGTGAAGTGTCTATATGTCTACAAGTTTCTGCTGTTTGGATATGATTTCTGTTTAAACAAGATTTAGGGGAAACATATTTTTATGAGAGAAGTGTAAATACTGGACAGGAAGCTATGAAAATAATTTAGTATAGTTCTTAATAGTATAGCTTCAAAGTCAAGCAAAGAGACGAGATGAAAATTGTGTATATGACACTAGGACAAGGTACCTAATTTTTTTAAATAGCAATTTATTCTTCTATAAAATGGGAAAATGTTAGTGCTTTCACCTAATATACAAAATACAGAAAATAATATAAAATAAGACACATCAATAAAAATTGGGCAAAGGATATATAAAAGCAATTTAAAAAAAGGAATATGGATACATAACAAACATATTAAAAATGCTAAACTTCACTAGTGATTAAATAAAATCAAATCTATGATCTTTCACATGCAAAACTGAAAAAATTAGAAAGATTAGAATAGCCAGTGTTTTTGAGGAGCTGAAGGGAAGGATAAGTCTCATGTACTATTGCTGGATGTATAATTAGAACATTTGGGGATAGCATTTGGGAAATGCCTGAGAAATTTTAAGATGTATCTACTCTTTTATCTATTTATTTCATCGTTAGGAATCAATCTTACTGAGATACTAACAGAAGTCTATAGCCAGGTATGTAAAAGGATACCTATTGCTGTACTATATATATATATATATATATATATTTTTTTTTATATAAAGGAGTATTTTAATTCTTATCTTTAGAAACTACAAAGACTATACATGATTGGAATTGAGACTGTACCAAACAATGGCCAAAGAAGAATCGTCCATTCTACGCCTTCTCTTTGATCTGGTCACTCAGAAATATAATGTTATCAGCTATGATCGTTGTTGCTTGTTGCCTCACATTATTTTTATCCATGTATTCACCATAGTCTACTTTCCCTTCCACATAAATTCGAGCCCCCTTTTTAACATACTGATATGCCACATCTCTGAGGCCTGGCCGGAATACTGATATCCTGTGCCATGTTGTCTTTTGACTGACATCACCCATTTGGTATTCTTCACTGTCCCCTGATCGCCACAGTTCATTTGTTGCTAGAGAAAATATCGTGACTGGATTTTTTCCTTCCACCTGTCTCATGACAGGATCCTGACCCACTCGCCCAAGTAACTGAACACGATTCAGGGATCTTTCAAGAACCAAACTGCTAGCTATTTCAGACTCATGTCTTACAAACTGATGAAGTACCTGCAATAAAGGTCTTCGAAACATGGCTTCTCTTTTCTTACTCTAATCTTTACACTCTTCACAGAACCACGTCCGACCCACGCAAGCGCACAAACACGACTAGAACCTTTCCTTTCCTCCTTCCTCCCTTCTCCTGACACTCTAGCCTGACAGGGGCTGCTGTACTATAAATGTAATAGTAAAATATTGTACCAAATTAAATATCCATATGCAGACAAAGGGATAACTGCACTGTAAAATATTGTCATCTTAAGAAAAATGAAGTTGATGTGTGTGCAAAGACATTGAAAGAGGTCCATAAAATACTGTTTTATAAAAAAATGAAAAAAAAAACATGTCATAAGATATTTTTATAATCATGGATATATGCTTGAAGAAATGTGTGAGGTTTAATATGAAAACATGAAATCTCCATTAGTTAGCATAATATTTTATAAACTATTCAGCAACATTTCTGGCACAAAAGCAGGGTTAAACAATTATTATTATTTCTGTAATTATTGAACATTTTGAGTCAACATACATACATAGCTAATAGAACTATGGTTGTCTAGAAATGAAAACTTAGAAAGAAAACAATCGCATGGAGATAAGGTTGCTATGGAAATCTTTCTGTAGTGAAAATTGCATTATTTTATAAAACAATTTAAAGTATTAAGACATAAAATTCTGTTTTCCTTTCTGCTGTAGATTACATAGCACATATATTAAAATGCATTTTTCTTCCTCTCCTCTTTTAGAAAAAGATTCACTAGGATATCATGTTTTTCCATGCTGTGAATTCTTTGCTTTTTGTTTACATATGTGTTTTGAATGAGGATGGTTTTGTGTGTGTAGCAAGGATTTTAGGTTTTAGAAGATACGGCCCTGGAAGATAAGGCCCTGGCCCTGCTTTAGGTCAGATATGATGAAGATGAATGAGGCTGGGAGCTGGGGAAGCCAGGTGAGATGAGCATGTCTTAAACTCAGCAGGAAAGGTTCTCATTCCCTGACACTAGAAAGACTCAGAAGTAATAAGATTCTTATGATAATCACATGTTCTCCAGTGATATCAACACCCCAAAGTCATAGAATTTCATCTGGGGATGGCTGCATGGCTACTTTGAGACTGAATCCTTAGTTGTGTGCATTGGATCTAGCTTGGTCTAGAGTGGGTTGATGCAGCAGAATTATCTCCCTACCGAATAGGCTATAAAGCTTTGATGAATCAATGGTAGTGAAAACCAGAGATTCTTTCTTAATCTTTGAACTGGTAAGTGATATGTATCTTGTAAAATTCCATGGTAAAATAGAGGAAGTTGCTCTGACCATAAATGATTAAACTGGACAACCTGCCAACCAGAAAATGTAGTTTAAGACAAATAAATTTGATTTATAAAAATAATGAAATATGATCTATCTAGCTATAAGTGCACATGCATCCATTTCCTATTTCTAGCCTCAAATAAGATTATGTAATTTAACACTTGGTAGGTGGTTAATAGAGGTATGTTGATTATAAGTACAGAGCTGTAGCATTTTAGAGTTAGAAGTGATCAATTTGAAATTTCCTCCCTTTGATTAAAAATAATATAAACTAAGGTCCAAAGAAATTGTGTGCCTCTCACAAGGACACGTAATATTTTCCAGGGCTCTTTTTGAGTCAATAAATAAAATATGAGACAAACTTGTCTATTTGATAATTCTGATCAGAATTGCCTGATCAGATGCTTATTTGAATTATTTCACCACAAATGTTATTTGTACCAAGTACATGGCAGATATTGAGCATGAACTATCTGCACTGACTATTAAAATAACCAATTGAATGAATTACCATAGTTTGTAAATTCTGCACATTCTTATTGACTGTTGAATCTACCATTGATATCCCTAATTAATACATAGCATAACTGTTTTTCCAATATCAACAAGAAAAACATGTGTGTTTACTGTTTAGTTTTCTGTTTATTGTTAATTCCTGGAAGAGTTTATAGAGGTTATAGGATTTTTACTTACCTGTGAGGCTTTCAAAAATGTATGTACAACTTACTAACATATATAGGATGGACAAACTTGTGAATAATACAGGTAGAATGAAAAGCTAAAACTAAAATACTGGGAAATAGAATCAAAATATGAAAATATCTCACCAAGCTGAACTAATACCTATTTGCTAACTAGAGAAAAGGAGAATAATTGATAAAAATACTTTTAGGTTAAATAAATTAATTCTTCAAATGCAGGATATGGCAAAAGTAGCTCAAATCCAATTAAAAAGAATAAAGTAAGTTTGATTTGATTGAAACTCAGTATATACTTAATATAATGCAAATAGTCTGTTGCACAGTTGGACAAAATCATTTTAGTTAATAATGGCGATGTAATATTATAACTTTTAATATGTTATCACATTTTAAAATGAGACCCACAACAAAGAAAAAATAATCTGGCTTTAGCTATATTTTAGCTAAAAAATTTATTTCTAAAAAAAATTATTTATTTATTTCTAAAAAAAAAAAACTTTCTAAAAACAATGTGTAAGGAATATTGAAGTTCAGAGAAGGACTCATTGCTCCATCTTAAATAACAAAGCTAAAATTTTATTTTTTCAATCAATAGTTATTTTAATAGAAAATAGAGATAATAAAAGTCCTCTCAGTTCAGTGGAAAATCTGGTAATTCTACCCAAAACAGGGTGCTTCAGTGACTGACTAAGGTTCTGAGTCAAAGTAACCCGACAGTCAAATACAGTTAAACTGCTGAGTCAAAATAAACTTTCCTGAGTACCTTCTCTGTGTTTAACATTTCACCATAAGGGTAATATATCTATAGCGGTAATCAGAAAAAAGGGACTATAATATTTCAGATATACTAAGGTTACATAGTCAATAAGTACATAAGCTGTAAAGTGGACACATCTAAATGAAAGTCCCTTTATATTATAGTCTACCTGTTAACAGCAGGCTCCAAGAGTAAGGAAACGAAATCTGTATTTTCCAAGAAACGATGCATAGTTCATTGTGCATAGTGAAGGTTTTACAAACAAATCTTTCAAAGAAGTATGAGATTTTGGTTTATAGTTTGTAAGGTATTATTTTCATTGATGACTGTGACCCCAAGACGTAGTCATGAAAGATATTATTACCAATATTTTTAAAATAAGAAAATCAAAGTTCAGAGAGGTAAGGTACTTTGCACAAATCATAAAAGTATTAATACATATTTGGAGCAAGATCCTGTGTTTTCAGACTCTAGTTAGATAAGTTTTCTTTCAGACTTTTCATCAGAATTGGAACAGCAACAACAACAACAAAAATCCCAAATTTTGGTGGTTAATTTTTTTTCAGGCACTGGTGTTAATTTATTTTGGAATTGTTTACTATGGTTCAGATAAATCCAAAAGTTTCCAAACTATTCTGCTCAGGGATGTGTGCTGCCAATACAGAGCAATAGGAATAGTACTTGTACATAAAATAATACAAGGGTAAGTTTAAGTCCAGGTTTATACTTTGCCTTGCCTTCCTGTACTCTTGGACAAATTCCTTAATTATCTATGAACTTCAATTTTCTTATGTTTAGAATAAAGACAATAGTATTAAGTTTTAAAGTATTTAATTGCATTGTCTAGCACACAATAGTTTCAGATTCTCCTTAGTGGTACTTCCTGTTTCTAGAACTAATTTAAACAAAGACTCTAATACTGAAAGTTTTCTTCAAATTCATTCATTAGCATTGGTCTAGCACAGTAGCTATACTTGCAATGGCTCTGCTACACCTATAGTTCAGTCCAAATTGCTATGTCTGCAATTACCATCCTGCAATAGTTCATTGTAGAAATACTTTCTTGAATCTATCTTCAATTGCATTTGTCCAATGTCTAAAATACCTTGAGAGGACTATGACTTAGAACCTATGCTTACTGATTTATGATTAGATTAGAAACAGCAAACAAAATAACCTAACAAGAGAATGGAGAATGAGAAAGCATTAGGGTCGGTTGAGACGAATCAGTGAAAGTACAAAAGAAAAACACTAAGACTTAAATGCAACATAATTGGGGAAAAAGAAATAAATGAAGTGGGTATTTAACTCAAGTGATAGAATTTTGTGAATATTTATTTTTTGAACATTGTAAATTTTTTATAGTTAGGTTATTTATAGCAAACAGATTCATTTTCCCTGAATACTTGTCAAAATGAGAGATATCTGTTTTACTGAATCAATATCATTAGGGAAATATTTTTGTGCATTTTTTTCTATGCCAGGCATAGTGTCTATAATTGAACATTATCAGTAATTGAGACCATAAAATGTGGCTCATGGCTTATGGTTTGTTAAAGAAATATATTGAAATGCTTCAATGGCTTTTCTGGGGGTGTCTCAGGATTCTTTTTTTCTTATCTCTCTGTAATTTATAAATTGTTTGTTAATTCAGAGCTGTTCACAGTTACAGGTTTTACCCTCAATCCTATTCCCTATAACATATACACTTCTGAATTTTCCTAATATATCAAATCTCTAACAAGCCCACATTGAATGTCTCCTCCAAAACGTAGTTCTCGAATACAATTTTTGGTGACATAATAAATAATTACTTAAATGTCCTGACTGCTTCATCATGAAGCATATTACTATGCTTGCCAAGAGCAGAAGACATAAATTGAAGTTTAACATTAATTATCATTATAATATGTGCTGTTTTGTTCACCATTGGATTCATTTATTTTTGGTTTTTAATATTGCATTTTATTTTTTAATTTCAGAATATTACTTGGGTATAAACGTTTAGGTTATATATGTTGCCTTTGCCCTGCTCAAGTCAGGACTATAATTATGCCCATTCACCACACAGTAAGCACCGCACCCATTAGGTATGAATATACCTATCCCCTCCTACCCCCTCCCATTTGCCCGACACCCTATGTATGTTACTTCCATATGTGCATGTACGTGTTGATCAATGACTACCAATTAGATGGTGAGTATATGTGGTGCCATTCTTTTTCCATTCTTGTGTTATTTCACTTAGGAGAATAGGCTTTAGCTCCATCCAGGATAATACAAGAAGCGTTAGTTTACCATTATTTTTTGTGACGGAGTAGTACTCCATGGTATACATATGTCACAGTTTACTGGTCCACTCATGCATTGATGGACACTTGGGT